GTCAATGTGAACTTGAAGTGAAAAAGATAGTTCATTTACAAAATACACCAAGTCAATTCTGCATTTACTGACCCTAAGACAATAACAAAGTCTCGTGTACCAGCTATAAATGCTCCAATTAAAATTGATGTCCCATAAGGAAAAAATACAACTGCAAATAAGTCTAAGGCATTCCATAAACGTGGAAGACCAGTCGGTTCAAAATATAAAAATCCTCGAAAACAAAGGGAGCAAACATAATTGATGGTCCAAAATAGAAAAAATGATCTCTTTAAAAGATTAGTGAAACTCTAGAACATCCCAATGACATAACAAAAGAGACTAAGGTACATGAAAGTTATGAAAATGAAGAGATCTCAATAAATTATGTCATGATGTAATAAGATGGAACAGAAATAGACAAACGTCGACGATAATTTTTCATATCATGTTGTGCGCGAGATTATAGAACAAACTGAGGATCTTGAACTTGAATCTATGAAGGAATGTAGGAATACAAAAGGTTAGCCAAAATGGAAAGATGCAATAAAAAAAAGCTTAATTCTCTTACTCAACGGAAAGTTTTTGGACTTGTAGTCCGCACATCAAAGGGGGTAAAACCTATAGGACACAAATGGGTATTTTTGCGTAAAGAAATGAGAAAAATGAAGTTGTGAGATATAAAGCAAGACTCGTTGCATAAGGTTTTACCCCAAAGGCACTGAATTGGTTATGAGGAAATGTATTGTCATGTGATTGATGTAATTACATTATGTTATTTAATAAGTCTGGAAACACAACAAAATGGGACATGTGTCTAATGGATGTAGTTACCGCTTATTCATACGGTTCACTTGAGAATAATATTTATATGAAAACCCAAAAGAGTTTAAGGTTCCGGAAGCACAAATTATAATTCTTGAGAAATATGGTAAAATTAAATAAATCTTTGTATGGATTGAAATAATCTGGTTGTGCGTAGTTCAATTGATTAACTACATTTTTATTGAAATAAGGCTACAAAAATGATCCTATAAGCCTATGTGTATTCATAAAAGGACCCGGATCAAAATTTGTCATAATTGTTGTTTACGTAGAAAATTTTGAATATTATTGGAACTCCTGAAGAGTTGGAAAATGCTACTTCTTTCTTGAAGGAAAAATCAAAATGAAAGATCTTGATAAAATGAAATTTTGTTTGGGTCTTCAAATTGAGCACACAAAAAATGGAATTTTTATGCATCAAATCCAATTATTTATAAAAGGCGCTTAAAGGTTTTATATGGATAACTCACACCCATTGAGTAACCGGTGGTGGTAAGGCGCCTAGATGCCAAAAATGACCCATTTTAGCCTTGTGAAAAGACATGAAAATTTCTTGGTCCCGAAGTACCATATCTTAGTTCTATTGGTTCACTACCGTATCTTGCTAATAATACAAGACCTTATATATCTTTTTCCGTAAAGTTATTACCAAAATATAGTTTTTGCCCAACAATAAGACACTGGAATGGAGTCAAACACATTCTTCGATATCTTTGTGGTACAATAGATGTGGGCTTATACTACTCAAATTCATCAAATGCGGAGTTAATTGGTTATGCAGATGTTGGATATTTATCTGATCCACACAAAGCTCGGTCCCAAACAAGTTATTCGTTCAATTGTGGAGATACACCAATTTATTGGCTTTCTGTTAAACAAACTTTAGTTGATGTTTCTTCTAACCATGTAGAGATTATAACAATTCATGAGGGAAGTCGTGAATGTTTTTGGTTAAGAAATTTAACTCACCGTATTCACGGGAATTGTGGTCTAACTACTAACAAAGATATTCCAATCATACTATATGAAGATAATGTGGCTTGTATAACCCAATTCAAGGAAAAGTTTATTAAAGGAGATAGAACAAGCATATATCACCCAAGTTCTTTTTCAATCACGATGCTCAAATGGAGCGTGACATCAACATCTGGAAAATTCAATCAAATAACAACTTGGCCGATTTGTTTACTAAAGCACTTCCTACATCCAAATTTAAAAAAATGGTACAAAACATTGGTATGTGGCAATTCAAGAAAATCAAAGTGATGTGTCCATTAGGGGGAGTTGGAAACATGTTGTATTCTTTTTTTAGCTAAGTTTTTCCATTGGGTTTTCTTAGCAAGGTTTTTAATGAGACATTTATTTCCAATGTAATATTATTAATTATATACTATTTTCCCTTAATAAAGGTTTTTCCCATGAGCTTTTACCTATTAAGATTTTAACAAGACAATATACAATCGTCATTGAATGGGAAGTGTTAATGATATTATTTGGTGAATGACCATTGACTTCTCTATATTCTCTCATCTCTCCATAATTAGTGAGCATCAGTAACAACATTATTATGAGTTTTATGAATGTAGTTATGCACCACTTTAAAGAACATTTATAACATAGCTCACTTTTTATTTTCTTTTGTTAGTATAAATAGTGAGGTACTATATATTGAAAAAAAAATGATTATTTTTACCGCAAGTAATGGAATAAACTTCTTCACAATCTCATTTTCTATTTTATTTTTTAACTTAGCTTCACATTTCATAAAATAAATAACTATTTTCCCCACTTTGTTTTTTGTATGAACCTATTAGTTATATAAAATGTGCTTAATCAAAGAATTTGTCCCCATTTGAATAAAATTTTGTAGCACCTGCCCAAAAAATGTCAACTTTATAAAATGTGTTTATATTCATTGTTGTCTTACTATAATATTCAAATTATGTGAATGATAATTCTCTTCTTTATCTTTAAAGAAACCATTCATCGTGCCTTTAAAGCGACGCATGGACGCGTGGTGTCAATGCCATATCATCCCGGCCCAACCTCCACTCTCTAGCTTTATGATTCTGAAAGTAGTTTTTTCGAAGTTTTGGTCCCTAAGCTATGAACCTACTGTCAAGTTTAGTCCTAAGACTTTGTGTTTAACCTTACAATGCAATGGATTTAGGAATGGCAATGGGGCGGGTTCGGGGCGGGACATGGTTTCCCAAACCCGCCCCGATATCTTTCGGGTATCTTATCGAGGCGCCCCGTTGGGTTCGGGTTTTCTCGTCGGGTTTCGGGTATCTTATCGGGTTTACAAAAATTCATAACGAAATCTTTATTCCGTTTTAGGGTACCCCGATGTCTTATAAAAAATACGTGTTCTAGCCTCCCTTTTAAATTAAAAATATGATGAATCACTTTAATAAAATTAACTCGACGTTATATTAAAAATTATTCGATTTAACTTTAGTGTAATACGTCAAAACATAAAAAATGATCATTCATACCGGATTGTTAATAACTAAAAAGATTGTCCACAGTAAGTATTTTATCTTTGAATGCGTACAATTAACATATATATATATATATATATATATATATATATATATATATATATATATATATATATATATATATATATAACCGGGGCGGATCGGGTCGGGGCGAGGATAACCCACTCCCTGCCCCGAACCCGATAAAAAACCCGATAACGACCCGTTACCTGACCCGAAATAATCGGGTTTCGGGATTCCCCGTCGGGTTCGGGTTTTTTTGCCATCCCTAAATGGATTCTATCATTCTACTCAACCCTACACGGCTACATGTGTTAATTAGTTTGAAGTTGGGGTAGCGTTGGTAAGGAACCGAAGGAGTGGTTTGAGAAGAAGAAAAAAAAACTTTGATTTTAACTACACCTTCTTTGAGGATAAGATAAACATTATCCAAAAATATTTACCAAACATGTAGTGTGTGAAGATTTATTGCTCCAATAGTTTTTTTATATAATAGATGATACGTTGAGATCAAGAAAAATAAAGGACTATACGTAATAAATGAGTTGGTTTCTATCCTCTCCATAGTTCTTGATATTTAATATATTTTAGTTGTTTCAAGAAAATAAATAAGTTGGGTATCTCATACAAAAGCAACAAAGTCAAGAGATATAAATGAAACAAACCCATTAGCATGTGCATTGTGTTGACCAAGTCATATTAGTTCATATAATTATTTCCCAAAAATATTTGGTGCAATTGTTAAAAAATATCAGAAATCAAGACCAAACTCTCTAATGGAATGTAAAACCGGTCCATTATGGATTGATCGAATTAGCATGAAAGTTGTAACATGAGAATACCACGTAAAACAAGATTAAGTTGGGTGACCTAATAATTGTAGAAGTAAATGGATTAAAACATGAGATAACTATTATGTTAGCACCATCAACAAAAAATTGCAAGGTTTCACGTATCACATGAGAAATTTGTGTGTATGTGCAGTTTGTAATATAAAAAACACGATCTATCATGATAAATAACAAAGTTTTGATTATCCAAGGGACAAGAAGTTTGTTTAATCAAGACAATGTACATGTACAATTACAAATGTGTCACATACATGGAACATATTCCAATAGAAAATGAAAAAGGACAACCGGTAATGTATTCATCAACCCTTTTTAAGGTTTCTATGACCATAGAATTGAACGAAGATAAATATTGCAACTATTAGATTAAAATGTCAAATATCAAATCATTGATGAGTAGAAAAAAGTTGATGCCGATCACATGCTTCATATACGACAACTTGATAAAGATTGTGATTGTCCCTTTCTAACATTAACTAATCAACACATGCTCCTATATAATAGCTAACACAAGTTTGAAATATTAAAAAGCCCCAATGGATAAAAGTAACCATTACCTTGTATTTTTTTTTAAAATTTTTTTTTTTTTTTGCATAATTTAGTAAGTGTAAATATTAGAACCTTTTCTTTTCTTAAAAATATTGTTTCAAGTGAGACACAAAGATTTGAGCCTCTTTGGTAGAAATTATTCATGTAACATGGGAATCTAATAAAGAAAAATAAATTAAAACAACTAAGATTGCATAAAATCCAAAGTCAAGGGTATAACAATACTAAGTGCATACTATAGGGACTGTTTTTGTAATTTATGACCATATGTTTGGTGATTCGTAGCTTCCGATCCCCTGAAGTACATACTCTTGTCAGATAGATGCGCGCTCTCACGTACACACACCGTGACCGGAGGAGAGATTCCATTTCCGAAGGTTGCGCACTGCTTTATCCACCAACACCATCAACCACCACGCCACCTGTTCGTACCAAATTCAATCAATAATCTGATCCTCAATTCTCATTTCCTCTTCCTATTGTACCTGATAATCGGAAGAGAGTAAAAACATTTCTGTTCATTTCTTTTTCGGATCCAGAACACCGTTTGTTTTCTGATCGTCAATTCATGACAGGTCGTGTTGTTGCATTTTGGCCGCCGCCGTGTTAATTTAACGGAAGAGAGATTACATCATTTTTCACCTTTACGCGTTGATCTTAGCACCAATGACTAGCGCTAGCGGTAACAAATTAATCACTGTCGATCCTGAAGAGCTCAGGTTTCAATGTAAGAATAATTTGCATAGATGTTAGTGCATTTGATTCTGTTGATATGTTCTTCCTCGTTGCGTTGTTTATTAATTTAATGTTTTTTCCCTGATATATTGTATGTTCAATTGTTGGTGAAGCGGTTTAGAAATCCAAATTTTGATTCAGATTGAGTTCGATAATTTGTTTTCGTTTAGGTCCGAATAGATCAGACACGATATGTTGCTTATTATTTTAGTTGTATTCAGAATTTTTTTATTAGATATTGAATGCGAAGAACGTGCTAGTCTTAATGTGTTCAACCTGTCGCTTTGCAGAGTTGTAGATGCGGAAAAATTCAACTAATGATGATTTTTTTTTTTTTTTTTTTTTTTTTTTTTGAGGAAATCTGTAGGAGAGATTGAGTAGAAAAACACCAATTTCTGTTGAATTTTGTTGAGATCGAATCTGGTTATTACATGTTCATGATGCGCATAACAGCATAATATTACATTTTAGGGGAAAAGCTAACGATCGTACATATTTCCATGCTTCTTATGCACCGATTACTTTATATCTATTTGATATTGATTCTGATTGCTTAAGCATTAATTTAACAGTTGAGCTGGAGAAAGCAAGCCATTGCGATTTGAAAGTCTCTAATGCCACAGACAAATATGTTGCCTTTAAGGTATCCTTTTGCCCTAAATTACTTGAAGTTATTCTGGTTGCTCTGTTTATCTGTTTCATGTTCACACAACATTCAGATGTAATTTCAAACTTAGCTCATGATGCATTCACCAATATAATCTTTCTTCCTTTTCTTTGTTTTTTTCTAGGTCAAAACTACTTCACCCAAGAAATACTTTGTACGACCAAATACTGGTGTTATACAGCCCAGGGATACAAGTGTCATAAGAGGTACTAAATACCAAATACTAATAATGCTGCTACTATTTACACCATTTTAACTTTCCAGGCTCTAAATTAATAATTAAGATCTTGATTTAGTAATTACACGCCTTCTAACTTCAAGTTATTGATGTAAATTTAGTTACCCTTCAACCACAACTTGAGTACCCTCCAGATATGCTATGCAAAGATAAATTTCTTCTACAAAGCACCCCTGTGCCCTCAATCACTGACACTGAAGAGCTTCCTGCAAATACTGTAAGAATATTTTTAATTCCAGAATATGTTCATTTTTTTATAATGAAGCCCCATTGTTTTGAAATGATAAATGACACAGTTAAATGTTGTAATTGTTCCAAATCCAGTTTAGTAAGGAACCTGGTAAACACTTAGAGGAATGCAAGCTTAAGGTCGTCTATATCGCTCTTCAGGGGAATAACAATTCCGGTGATGCTCCCAAACAGAATTCCGATCCAAACTCTGTGAGTTCCATAGCAATTCCTTTTCCACTTTGCTGATTCCGATGGAATCGAATACAATTGGAATGCGTGATTCCATTCCGTGACGCGTTTGGTTGTTATATGGATAAAATCTAATTTAAAATCCTTCACATTTGATGGATTTCACAATTCAGATGGGAAGGTGGAATCTTTTTTATTTTTTATAAATGACCAAAATACCCTTATATTAAAATAAGTTAAATAGAAAATCAACAAAATTATCTAACTATTAGAAACATAAAGTTATCTAATTTTAATTGTGCCAAACAAATGCATCAAAGTTCATATTCCGATTCCGATTCCGATTCCGATTCCGATTCCAATTCCATTTATTTCCAAAACATTTTAAACGCTAAAACCAAAGATTTTGGGAGAAAGTATGATTGCATTTATGCAGATTCCATTCCTTTCTTTTCTTTAAATTCAGAATCAAGCAATTCAGACTGCAAGAGCTGCTAGGGATTCAGCTGTGAGAGAAGCAACCCAGCTGCAACAAGAACTGGTAAATTTACATCTTTACCCTCAACCTATAAATTCGTTATTTTACTGAACCCTAAAAAAAATTGCTTTCAAATTTAATTATTATATTAAAATGTAATTACAAATTAATCATATTGATTTGGTTTTGTATTAGGAAATGCTAAAGAAAAGGAACCAAAAACCAGCTCCAGCAGCAGCTGGATTCTCGTTAAAACTGGCGATAGTTGCTGGAATCATTGGGATACTGGTTGGGTTTATTTTAAAGCTGGCTATGGCTTCACCTACATCACCGCCGCCGCCAACACCACCATCCCCTTCCATAACAGACTAATTCCGGTCACTCTTTCTTTTGAAATCTACAAAACTGATGGATAATGATGATGATTTTTTTAATTTTGTTTCTTCTTAAAAAAAACTTTGTCCAAAAGCTGATTCGTTTATCTTTTTTTATTTTTCCTGTTATATTTGTACATGGACCATTGCAAATTGCAACATTGTTTGTTGGTACTTTTGTCAACACGTAAATGAACGCCGGCTTTATTGAGCTTATCTTTTTGTATGTCTATTATATGCTAAAGTTTGAATTTTCAATAATTATTATGAAAATGTTTATTTATGTTAGAAGAAAAGCTATAATACACACCACGTCAAAAATAAAAAGTAATAGAACGTTCTGTTGAAACAAAAAGAACATATACATTCTGATAATTTGTTTTTTTTTATATACATTTTTACCTATAGAATGTTATGTTTGACGTACTAACTGAAAATCTTTAGTGAATAAGTTAGCATATCAATAAGTTATCTCAAATAATTTATGGAAAACAAATTTATAATTTACTTTGTAAGTTGCGGTAGATTATTTTTATGGTCTCACCAAACATTAAATTTTAGAGGGTGTTTGTTTTATTTTTTAAAACAACTTTTAACTTTTATCTTTTCCTAAAAGTTAAAAAGTGTTTGGTAAGTGAAAAGAACTTTTAAAAGCAACTTTTTAGATAGAAGAAGAATGTATGTTTTGAAAAGTCAGGTAAACATAACTTTTTGAAACTTTTGAACTACTTAAAATCTAAATTACCTTTATGCCCCCACTACCCTAAACAATTGAGGCAGATACGTTCATTACTCTCGTTCTCATTCTCTCCGCTCAACACCCTCGTTCTTCTCGTCTCTCTCATCTCTCATTCACTGATCGATCGTTCACCAAGCCACCGACGATCTTCTTCCAATCAACACTGGTGCCGGCGTCTCCTTTCTCCGTCTCCGATCAGGTAAGTTTAAACTCCGATTTTGTTTTCGTTTGTGTCGATTTTCGATTTTCAGTAGCAAAGAAAATGTCGATTTTCGATTTTTCTTGCACTGTATGTGATTTGTTCCTTTGATTATGATACCTGTGATGTTGTGTGATGGTCTGAAATATTGATTATCATACCTTTGAGAGTGTATGGCTTGTACTGTGTGGAAAGCTAGGTGGACGTTATTAAGAGACATGCATGTTAATTACAAGTACAGGAACCAAAGTGAGAATTGTGATAGCATCGATGGCGATCCATAACTACAATAGAAAGGTTGGTAGGTTTGATGAAGCGTTTAATAGAGCACAACAAGAATCCTACAATCCCGTACGATGTGGTACTAGTAGTGATGTTTACGAAGAAGGTCCAAGTACACGTTGCACGAGCGATGCTGATTCGTATATGGCAGCAATACGGGATATTATTGCACAAGATATAATCACATTGCGAAGATGAATGTATTATCCATGATATTTTTTATGAATTATTTACAATTTGTATGAACGTAATTTTAATATTATCATGGTCTAATCCAAAAAATTAGAAATATTTTAAAAGAAACTTATATTTTATATTTTCTAATAAAAATGTTTACAAAATTATAATATGTGTTTAAAAAAATTGTTAAGTATAAAATAATATATGTAAAGTAGTAAATCATTGTAAATATGTAAGCATGTCATTTTTAGTCATTTTACATGTAAAAGTTAAACCAAACACTTTTTAAAAACAACTTTTGACTTTTGCCCCTCAAAAGCTAATCCAAACACATTTTAAAAAACAAATTTTGTAAAAAGTCATTTTACAAAAAAGACTTTTGAATCAAAAAAGTAATCCCAAACACCCTCTTAATAAGCTCAAAAAAATAAGTTACTTTATGCGCCTCAAATAGAGTCTAAGACTATATTTGACAGACTAATTGAAAAGTTATATGATTGCATGCTAGCTGAAAAGTTAGATGTTAACCGCTAAAAATTAACATTTAGTAAATCTAGTTGATATACGTAAAATGACATAAGGCTATGAGATGTAACTATCACCTCACTACTCTAAAAATTGTGGCACGTCAATGCCACACCATTACACTTCCCCTGACTTACCATAGGAAATACACACCATTCACCACCGCAAAATAACTTCAACCTCACTATTTATTTATTTCTTTATTTAAAACAAGTAATCTTAAAAATTATGTAATATTTAATTAAAATAAAAACATTTCATTCATTTAAAATAGACAAAACTGCAAAAATGGTCCATGTGGTATGCATTTTTTTCAAAAAAAATATTCAAACCACTAAACTTTTGGATTGATGGTCCTTTGAACATGTTTGTTTGTGGTTTTGGTCCCTCGAAAAAACTGAAATGAATATAATACCCTTGATGTTGTAACGTCTGGTTCTTGGTATGTATTTAACTTATAATTTATTCAACTTTATAGAGCAACTCAACGAGTTGGTGGCCCCAAACTCGTCGTGTTGAAATGTTATGGACCGCGTATTTTAAGTGACCAACTCGACGAGTTGGGAGTCTCAACTCGACGAGTTGGCTGGAAGAAATGAAAACCCTAATTCCAGGATTTTGCACCCTATCTAAACAACTTAAACCCCACAAGTTGACCTCATTTCCAGCCTCCATTGTCCTAAACCCTAACCTCGAAACCCTAAGGCACTTTTAAGTGTTTGTGAGCTATTTTTAAGTGTTTGTGTGTGTGTTTGAATCCATTGGAAGAAAGGGAAGCTTGGTGATACAAGAAGGAGCTGCTAGATCTCGAATCCTTACTTCATTTTCGACACTTTTCTGGTATAAAGTTTTAACCTTGCTTAATATTTGATTGAATCTCTTTTTGGGTTAGTTTTGAGGCTTTTAGACATGTTTGGGTGATTGATGGGGTTGAAGGTCGTCCCAAGTGCTATCTCTCATGATCTATGGTCCTCTTGAGCTGTTATGGCATAAAGGTGCCAACTTTATGGTCCTAAGAGCTCCATGCATCCTTTAAGCCTTTGTTTTGGCCTTTTAAGCTTCATTTGGCCATGCATATGAGTAAAGTTGAAGACTTTACGTGACCTTTTAGCCTTTATGGTCCAGATCTGTGTTCATGAGCTCTATCTTGAAGATATGGTGGTTTTTGGATTAAGAGATAAGCCTTTTAAGATTAGGGTTTGAGCTTAATGCCTTTGGGTGGTTATTAATGGGTAAAGTTGGAAACTTTACCCTTCTAGACGTATTATCAGTCTAGATCTGGTTCTTAAGGGAACTCGGCGAGTTGAGTTGGGATTGTCCTGATTCTGTTGAAAAGGGAGAATCTCGACGACTTAAATGGAAACTCAGCGAGTTGGATCGAAATATCGTGATTCTGTGCTTAATGGAAACTCGGCGAGTTGTGGGATAACTCGACGAGTTGAGTCAACTCGGAGCGTTGACTTTGAGTTTGGCCAAGTTTGACCTTTAAGGAGTTTTGAAATATTAATCGATATCTAAGGCATTGTTTCTGTTTAGGGGTTGAGTAGAGCTGTTTCCGGGGCCGGGGATTTATCCAGTTATCTTTCAGCATTTGAGGTGAGTTTCCTCACCAGGTTTTGCGGGTCGAAGGCACCAAGGTCGACCCTTGTTCGATTATGTTGTTATACTTGTGGTCTGTGTGATACTTGTATGTGCTTGTATGTGTATGACTATTGGGCGGGGCCCGTATCTCATTTTGATCCGAGTGTGGGCAGGGCCCGTTTCCGAGTGTGGGCGGGGCCCGTATCTCACTACTATTGGAGTGTGGGCGGGGCCCGTATCTCATGATTGCTTGATATGTATGGTATGCGGTATTTTGGGGGAACTCACTAAGCTTTGTGCTTATGGTTTTTAGTTTATGTTTCAGGGAACCAAATACGTTTGGTTCCAAGGGGAAGAGCTCGGGATGACTGCATCGCACACACCATTGGGATTCCACACATGATGTTTTACTCTGATTTTATGACAATTGATACATTGGTTCTTATTTGAAATGTTTGGATGCTATTGTAAACCACTGTTTTATCTATTATTAAAAACAAAATTTTTGGGACCTTAATTTTTGGATGTTTCAAGTTGGTGTCAAAGCCTTGGTTTGAGGGATTCGGGCACACTCTCGGGTGTGAATGAACTCAAACTAAGGACTTGGTAGAAATTTTTTAAAAGAAAACATTTTTATAAAAACAATTTCTAAAAGATAAAAGGGTTTGGTGCATGCAATCATCCGAGCTCAAGTAAGTCATCCCAAAATACCTATACATGCTTATATATGATATGAATTGTGAATTGTGAATCGCATGCTAGATTAGGGCTAAGGATCTATGAGGGATGCCTTGTATGCCTATTTTATAAGCTTATATAATTACATGCTAGTACTGATCAGTCAGTGATAGGATGGTCTGAATAGGTTATGCTCAGTTCTGTTTACTTGATGCTCGAATGCTGCTTGCTTTGTGCTTTTAGGAGTTCTTGCTAATCTGAGCTAGTTAGTAAGCGAATATGATAAATTACATATTATGGAAATTAAATAATTTCAGAAGGTTAGGTTTGGCTCTATTGCGCAGCTCTTGTTTGAGTCCAACCGTTGTAGGGAGAGACCTCTCATTCGAAGAATTATTTAGTCTTTGTAATATGTAATTATATTCGTGAGCTAGTTAGAAGAGGTTAGCATGAGTTCCTTCTGTAGATGATGGCGGATAGTGGTGTGGAGTTTTCCCTAGGAAAACCTAGGATGAGATTTATTATTGGGAGCTCTATCCGTGAGGGGTCTGTTGATTATAGGGTAACTTGGTTAAGTGAAGGCATTACTTGAGGAAAGTACGGATAGATGTGGAAGGTAGTATGGGCCCGTACTACTGGAAGTAGATGATCCGTACTCGATTCAAGGAGGGTTGTAATGAAGCCAGGGAGCTTGTGTAGTTATGAATTCCCCGATATGCGCATTGATGCTTATTCTGTTAGTTTTATGGTCTATTTTCAGTATGGTGGTATTGCGTGTAACGCCCGCAGATCCGGGCTAGTCAATTTAGAGACAATGAGCATCAAAACTGAGTTTTTGATGGAAGATTATTTAGAAGTAATAGTCTTAATAAAAGTTGTAGCATATGTTACAAGGATTCCATACATATAAAGAACGCCGAAATCCGAATTATAACAAAGAAGTTATGGCCCGTCGAAGTTTCGCGGCAAAACCGGCACGGCACCGGGAAACGAAAATAGTGCAGTTACAATAGAGGACTTTTTGGCATTAGTGATCTAAAAAAAATTGTATTATACGT